AGAGTCTTCAGAAACCCTTCGAGCACTAATTTCTTTGTGATTTTATCCGTTTAAGAAGTGTTTCATTCTTTTTGCAAAAGTTTTATTGATGTTATATGAGATATGACTTCATATCCATGAGACTTCACATATAAAGTGTTACTTTCAGCCTCCTGTATCTCTGAATTGGTGGCTAGGCTCAAGTTAAAACTTTTATGAAATTAATGTCCCTTCATATAGAGTACTTTGGCGTATGATTCAGTTAAAAATTCGAGTATCCAAAAATGGACTAAAAAACAGGTGATTTTAGCGTCACTCTTTAATCTGAACTTTACACTGAATAAGAATAAATTAAAAATTCTTACATTTTGGTCTTTTTTAACTTAAAATTCCCTACGCCTTTTTGAGGTAAAAATTCCCTACGTTAAGGAGAAACCCCTACTTTTAACAATACTGTGTATAACATTACCTAGTGTTTCAACGAAATGTATTTCCTGTTTATAATTGGCGCAATTTAAAGATTTCATACATTTTTTGAAATAAAATTATTATTGTATATTTTCATAGTTTGGATAATAGGTTTGGAATAGGAAGTTATTTTTTTTTCAAGAAGCGCACATACAAGCGCGTGTAATAATTTATGTAACGGTTTTTTCTAAGAGAAACACGCACCCTTAGCGTCTTTTTTTACCTTTTTTTAGAAAGGTAAATTTGTTAGGATACCAATTACATCAAAATAACTCGAACGGTTTTTGAAATTTTTGGAAAAAACGATATTTTTTCCAACTTTGACACATTATATCTTTGAAATTAAACCGTTTCCGACAGATCGTCATATGAAGTTTTAGTCTTGAATTTGTGTGAGCAATCACCCTTTAAAATCTTTTAGTGTACTTACGATATACCCTGTATATACACACACCATTTCTTCATAACGACTTTAAAACATTATACTATTTATTACACGTCGAAATATCTTACGAGAAAACGTCCATGCCGCCTTTCCCCGAGTCATGTAACTGTTGCACTTTCTGTAACACTCGACATCCTTTCATTATTGCATCTTCGTAAATTTCCTTATGACTTTTGTATTTTGCAGGAATTCTGTCATGCAGAATCGGATCACTTAGAAAGAAATTTTCTGTAAATAATAAACTCGAATCACTTTAAAATATATGTATAATTTAACAAATTTTTATATTAACAATTGCAAATAAGCTCAGACAGCAATACGAGCTATATAAATCCAATCAATATGTTTAATAGGTAGTTAAATAGGGAGTTTGCATAAAATTTGAAAAATGTTACATTTTGTAATATACAGGGTGTCCCATTTTAAATGATCCAGCCAAATATCTCGAAAACTAAACCCAGTAGACAAAAATGTTTCAGACAAAAGTTGTTTGACTCGAAGGGGGACATAAGATGGTGCCATCGATTTGACCTTGGATAGTCCTCTGAAGGTCACATGAAGGTCACCTTTAATTTTTTTAATGGAACCCCTTATTTCTCATTGCATATTCTTATAGCTCATTTCGAGAGCTTTCCAAAACACTATAATTAAGTTACTTTTCGTTAAGTACTAGTTAAGTTATAAAGCAAGATCGGGGCTGATCCGGCCGACTAAAGCAAGATCGAGACTGATCCGGCCGACTAAAGTAAGATCGGGGCTGATCCGGCCGATTAAAGCAAGATCGAGATTGATCTGACCGATTAAAGCAAGATCGAGACTGATCCGGCCGACTAAACCAAGATCGGGGCTGATCCGGCCGACTAAAGCAAGATCGGGGCTGATCCGGCCGACTAAAGCAAGATCGGGGTTGATCCGGTCGATTAAAGCAAGATCGGGGCTGATCCGGCCGACTAAAGCAAGATCGAGGCTGATCCGGCCGATTAAAGCAAGATCGGGACTGATCCGGTCGATTCATATCAGAATCTAGTTTTCATGTGAAATGATTATGATCATAATAAGTGTTCGAATATTTGTCCATTATTATCCACACATAATTGAACTCGACGTTCAAAACTGTCAACTGTCGATAAAAGTATATTTCTTGGAATGCGCCGTCAGGCAAGAGTTATACTCCATCAGATTCTCTCTTGTTGTAGGTGTTTTTGAATATACTACGTTTTTCAAGTATCCCCATAAAAAGAAATCTAGACTTGACAAGTCTGGAGATATAAGACACCATGACACTGGTCCATCGCGTCCTATCCATCTACCTGGGAATGTGAGATCTAAATGGTTTCTAACTCTTCTACTCTAGTGCGCAGGCGCACCATCCTGTTGAAAGAACATACGTTGTCTTGTATCCAGATCGATATCTTCAAGCAACGCCGGCAATCTTTGTTGTAGAAAGTGTAAATAATTATTACCATTAACATTTTCGTCAAAGAAATAAGGGCCGATAAGGTTTCCGTTTAATATGCCACACCATACAATGAGGCTCCAGCGATGTTGATGATTAACTTCTCTATACCAACGTGGGTTTTCAACAGACCCATAATGAAAATTATGTCGATTTAATTATCCAGTGTTGTGAAAAGTTGCTTAGTCACTAAATAAAACAAATCTGAAAAATGTTCGGTCACGATTTAACATTATTTGTGCCCACCTACAAAATTCTAGTCTTTGTTGAAAATCATTGAGTGTTAATTGTTGTGTCAAAGTGATATGGTAAGGATGGAAGTTATGAGTGGTCAAGATCCTGTGACTTGTTCATTTCGGAATACCTAATTCTCTTTCGATTTGCCTCGTTGACACATGTGGATTAATAACTATCATTCCCAATACGGCAAGTACTGTTGGACCCTTTCTGCTGGTACGTTAATATGACGTCTTTGTCGTTTTTGACGTTGACGTTGTCGTTGACGCAATACAAGTGTGGAAATCGTACAATGATTTGGATGTCGTCTATGAGGAAATCGATTACGGTACAATACCGCTGCTTGTCAATAATTATTATGGCATTCTCCAAGTACAAGAACAATATCAATAATTTCGTTTAAAGTATAATCCGACATTTTGCGTACATTAAGTTACAAGATAAAGTAAGAGCCGATAGATTTATTATTCTGATTGATATTGGACGACTAAGACAAATTTACGCATTTATGGATCATTCTTTGCCATCAGCTATTATGGATCAATCCCGGTTGGATGGACTGATTAAGATAGAAAATATTGCGTGAGTATAAAGTTCAGCGCTCGGAATCAGTTGCCCTTTTCGGCCAGATTTCTGAGGAGACTATCCCCCCACTACCGCTCCAGACTCTACGCCCGAGTCGACGATCGCGCGCGTAACGCTGAGCCACAGGAGCGTCCGTGACAAATACATTAGGCCTGTATCTTCCATGAAATTTTTAATTATTTAACAAAACTTTTTTTGCTAAATAATTATTATATTTACAAATAATAACTTTTATATTTATGAATTTAACGTAAAAAAATTTATTATTAAAATATTAAATTGTGTAAAGTAATTACACAGTGATAATCATAGCACATACAACCATTTACTTTATTAGGAACCCTATTTCTTATAACTCATAAAGAAATAAATAACATCATTTTTAGAAATATTAATATTTATTCCCTAAAGTTTAGATGATATTTATTCTTTTTCACTGTTATAACTAGACTGCGGAACTTTATGCAAAATACTTAACTGAATATTAACTATCGGACAGTTTCAGCAGTCAATCGTTGCCCGTTAAAGAGTTATTAAAAGGTGAATTAAAAAGATTGAAATTGCCATCTGTAAATTTACAAAATTGCAAAATATGCATTTTATGCAAAACATTCAGTTAAGTATATTGCATAAACTTCCGCAGTCTAGTTATAACTTAACTAGTACTTAACGAAAAGTAACTTAATTATAAATTTTTTGGAAAGCTCTCGAGATGAGCCGTAAGAATGTGCAATGAAAAATAAGGGGTTCCGTTTAAAAAATTAAAGGTGACCTTCACATGACCTTCAGAGGACTATCCAAGGTCAAATCGATGGCACCATCTTATGTCCCCCTTCGAGTCAAACAACTTTTGTATGAAACATTTTTGTCTACTTTAGTTTTCGAGATATTTGGCTGGGTCATTTAAAATGGGACACCCTGTGTATATATATATCTTTAACTGCAATTTTTTTATAATTTTTAACGCAAACTATGCAAGAAAATAAATAATAAAGTATTGCATTATTTGAAATGCCGAAGACGGTCCGGATACGACCGAGCCCTCTCGAACGCACTGTGACGTCACACTGCAACGAAACCACAATTATTCAGTAAGAAATTAATTTATTTTTAAAAAATGAGCAAAGGAAACACGTACAAAACGTGTTTTATACCTTTGTATAAAAGCACAACAATTAAAACACCGGAAATTTCTTTTATGTACCTCAAGCTGAAAATGTGAATAAAAAAGTGGTTTAAAAGTTCACATCGTGTTGATGAACTAGGAAAATGGAATTATTTTTGTTGTGAAGATCATTTTGATGTATAGCCAGGAATGCCTAGAGTACGATTTTAGGGGTCCACATTTCGTTTTTAGTTATTTTTACATTCATGACTGTTAAAATCTGATACGACCGGGTGTTACGTCAGCAATCATAAATGTATCGTAGTATTTGTGAATTGTGTTTTGACAGCCGGCCGATGTAACCTCAGTTTTAATCAGTGAAATCTCTATCAGATAATCTAGTGATTAGTTTGAAGACATTTCAACATTTCTCCATCCGAAGAAAGACGGCAAAAGTTTTTCAGTGAAATACTACAAAGCTTAATTGAAAAGAAGCGGATCGAAGCCTTCAATATATCGGATAAGTTGTAGTTTTGAAAAAGTATAATTGCTTTTACTTGCAATAAGAAAATATACTTTGTGAGCTGTTTTTCTTACACAGATAATAATATAAATAAGCGAATAAGATAGTCAATGATGGGGTGTTTGTGGCGAAAAGTGTTTTATTAGGGACAACACAGAAAAGTAATCCCAGATGTTTAATCATAAGATATTTAAGGTACTCACCGTGTTAAGAATGACGCTTAGTAACATTAAAATCTTTTATATTGTTGTTTCTCATTCAATTTCGGTGAAGATTCCAATCTTGGCATAATATATGAGTGCCAGAATTAAAATAAAATTAAATTGCGAGTCTCCTGAGAGCTGAATGTATTCTAAATAAGATTTTTTTCGTATGTGTAATATTTTATTACGAGTGTATAGCAATTGCACATAAGCCAATTGCGCACAAGCCAATTCAACGCTAGAAAAAATAAAATAAAATAAACTCCCTGTGCAGAAGTCGCTGTGACTGGCAGTGGGCAATTGCTACAGTGTGCAAGTGCACCACTCCCTTTTATTACATACTTGCTTTTAGACGATTAGAAGACAGTTCTTCTTTCAGAGGAGTAAGTTCTTCTTATTGCTCAACAAAGATTTATATCTCTGTTGAACAATAAGAACTTACGACTTATGATTATTAAATGACGATTATTGAATTTTTCAATTTAATTTTTTTAATTGTTTCCTAATCGTCTAAAAGCAAGTGTGTAATAAAATATTACACATACGGGAAAAATCTTATTTAGAATACATTCAGCTCTCAGGAGATACGCAATTTAATTTAATTTTAATTCTGGTACTCATATATTATGCCGAGATTGAATGAGAAACAATATAAAGAATTTTAATGCTACTAACCATCATTCTTAACATGGTGAGTGCCTGAAATACTTTATGATTAAACATCCGGGATTACCTTTCTATGCTTGTCTCTAATAAAACACTTCTCGCCGCAAACTCCATTGTTGACTATCTTACTCGCTTATTGATATTATTACCTGTGTAAGAAAAACAGCTCACAAAGTATATTTTCTTATTGGTAAATAAAAGCAATTATACTTTTTCAAAACTACAACTTATCTGATATATTGAAGACTTCGATCTGCTTCCTTTCAATTAAGGAGGTTGTAAGGCTGAGGCGGGCAGTGAGAGGGGAATGCTTTAATACAAAAGAAATATGAAGTGTAGCCAACATTTGAACATTAAAATTTGAAGAAATAAATAGCTAAAATTTAAAGAAATATGGATTATAATGCAATTAAAATGCAAAAAAATATTAGTGTTTATTTGTGTAAAAGTTTCAAAGATAAACATATATTTTTTAGAACAATAAATATTTTTAGCTCAAGAAATGATTTGGCAACGGTGTAAAACTGAAAAATTGAAGTTGGTAACACTGCAAACTGCAATGTCTGACGGGTAGATAAGGTTAACGTGACGCTATAAATATTTTGAAGCGTTCTTTGACAAATCATTTAGTACAATTTTTTTTCTGTGATTAGTAAATCAAATGCTTAAAAGCATTTGTAGTGAGACTTTCGGCAACTCAACTGATAGAATATTCTTGATTCGTGATGATGAAACAACGTTGCCACATTTTCTCCATCAAACAGTTTCAATGGTAGAAGTATCATATCTTTGGTTATATTTTTTACTATTGTTAATAAACTGTGGTAAAAGTTGTTTTAATCTTCAAATATATTTTTAATATGCTATACTTTATATATTAAACATAAATTTATTCGATTCTTAACATTTCAAATATTAATATTTATTGAAAACAGATACATAGAATCGAGTCTCCTATAAGAGAAAGAGAGATAGTCTATTATAAAATCCAGAATTTTGTTATTAATTTACAGAAAAATGTGCTGGTCAAAAAATCTGAAAAAATTTACATAAAAGCATGCTTTGTAGATAAAGTTATGTTCCAAATTGCAAGCAATTCTTAACATATTGCATTCTCCTTACAACCTCCTTAAGCTTTGGAGTATTTCAGAGATTTCACTGAAAAACTTTTGCCGTCTTTCTCTGGATGGAGAAATATTGAAATGTCTTTAACCTAATCACTAGGTTATCTGATAGAGAGATTTCACTGATTAAAACTGAGGTTACATCGACTGGCTGTCAAAACACAATTCACAAAATAACGATACATTTGTGATCGCTGACGTAACATCCGGTCGTATCAGATTTTAACAGTCATGAATGTAAAAACAACTAATAACGAAACGTGGACCCCTAGAATCGAACCCCAGGCATTCCTGCTACGGGCTGTATGTATTATATTAAAATACGTTTTTTGCTCTTTAATTAAAATTATAAAAATATTAATCATTAGCCCACATTTAGATTATTTTTTGTTATTTTAAAAATATTAATCATGTTCATGTAAAAGTATCCAACATAACCTTAAACGTAAACTAAAACATTGAATGTTAAATGTAAAGGTATTTTGGGATTTTGTAAAATTATTTTACATCTAAAATTATTTTAAAATTCATAATTAATAAAAAACATGTTTTTAATGTGTAAATACCATTTTTAAATGTTAATTTTATGTTTATAACCTTACATTAATCAAATTTATCAGAATAACTTGCTTTTTCAATTTTCAAACATTTTTTTCTTTTGTAAACGTTATGAAATTATCAACTTACAATGAATCTTTTTTAGTACAAAAGTTAAACATTAACCGATGAATTGATAATATATAAACTGTTCTTTCCTATTGATAATATATAAACTGTTCTTTCCTCTTTATATCTAATAATGTATGTCTTGACAACCGATTATCTAACTGTTTTTGCTTATTAGGTTGTTCGGTTACTTTATAAAATTAGAGTTGTCACCTAAATTTTCAGTCATAGATTCAAAATTTATTGTCATCTCATTAGTTGTAATAAATTTTTTTGAAGTTGCAACATTAGACAAGGCTGATTTTCTCCAATAACATTCAACTTTAGTTACAGATATAGTCTATTAATTCACATTATAAAAAGGCTATACCATGCTTACATTCTCCTATAATTAAATTCAATGCATTTATAGAAACTTATATATTTATATTATTACAAATATGTATTACTATATATATACATATATATATATATATATATATGTATATGTGTGT